GAAGAACAACCCGTTTGAAAGACCAGTTGGTCACGTGGTAGTACTGTAGCGAGTTTACATTATGGCTGAAGAGAGAGGTAGACTGCTTGAGCTTTTGTTCTTGCACTCATCAGGACATGTGCAAGAATACCAAATTCCAAACAATCACAACAAGGACAGAATAGAAGGCTACTTGATTGGCTGGCAAGTAGGCTCTGATTGGCTTGAGGCATTGCCATGGCAAAAGCAATGGCGACCAGTTGAGTTTAGGAAAGACGGTTGGCATGGATGAGTTGGGTGGAAGGTCCTGTTTCTGTGCTGTGTGACTCTACGATTCTAACCATAGACTCCCTTAGCTCTCTGATGATTCAGAGGGCTCTCCAATTAGCTGACTCTTTCTGCCTTTTCCACACAGCCTTGAAAATGTTACCTTTCAATTATTGATCCAACTTCATTTTGGAAATTATGATTGAATTATCCTTTCAGGCAGCATGATCCAAATCGTGACAAATTACCTCTGTCCCTTTTGCAATATTCTCCAATAACCCATCCTCACACTGCTGTCTGTCTTTTTTTATTCTCTCAAACCTTTTCTGACTTTTGGACAAAGATATCAAATCCCCTTTAACTTTCTCCACTGCAGTGGGAATACATTCAAAATATGCTTCCTTAATGGCCTTACAAGGCTTACCTAACTCTCCAGTGCTTTGACTGGGATGGCAGGACAGATGCATGAAGAGAGACTGCATCAGTTAGGATTATATTCACTGGAGGTTAGAAGAATGAAGGAGGATCTGACATAAACCTATAAAATTTTAATGGGACTAGATAGGGTAAATAGAGGGAGGATGTTTCTGATGAATGGGGAGCCCAGAACCAGGGGCCACAGTGTAGGGATTTTGGGATTGACCATTTAGGACTGAGATGAGGAGAAATGTCTTCACCCAGAGAGTGGGGAGCCTGTGGAATTCCCTGTCACAGAAAGCGGTTGAGGCCAAAATGCTGAATGACTTAAGAAGGAATTAGAGATATTTCTGAAGAAGGGTCCAGACCTAAAATGACAGCTTTCCTCCTTCTCTGATTCTGCCTGGCCTGCTGTGTTCCTCCAGCTCCACACCGTGTTATCTCAGACTCCAGCATCGGCAGTTCCTACTATCTCTAGAAATATTTCTTGATGTTAAAGGGATCAAAAGGCATGGGGGAGAAAGTGGTAACAGGGGACTGAGGTGGATGATCAGCCATGATCATATTGAATGGTGAAGAAGGCCTGAAGGCGATGAAGGTGATATTATCACTGGACTTGCGGCAGGTTCAAATTCCGCCATAGCGGAAAATCTGTGAAACCATTGTCAAGGAAAGACTCATTTGGTTCACTAATGTTCTTCAGGGAAGGAAACTGCCATTCTAACATGGTCTGGCCTACAAGTAACTCCAGACCCACATCATATGATTGACTCAACTGCCCACTGGGATGAGCAATAAAAATTCTGGCCTAGCCAGTGATACCCTCACCCTGTGAATAAATAAATAAAAAGGCTGAATGGTCTATTCCTGCTCCTATTTCCTACATTTTTTTATGATTGACTCGTTCTGACCCACAAAATACTTCTGCCTGACTGTGTGTGGTCTGATGGAAGCTTAAATTCAGCGCAGCCTTTTTAGAAGAGTTGTCCAAGAACGGAGACCCATCCTGTCTTCCTTGCTCACTGTACAAACTCTCTTTGGTCAGGTCTGTCAATCAAACATTGGTCACGAAGGCATCAGTCACGTGGATTAAGGTAAGTCACATAATGTTCTCTGGTCAAATCCATCGATATGTGTGTATATCAGCAAATATGTGACAGGCTGCTCAGACAGCTATCGGGAATACTGTTTCAAAAGAATAGCGCCAAGGATTGGCATTTAACTGGCAGATTCAGATTTAACCAGCCTTTTGTGTAACAGTGCTGAGCTACAGACGCATATTAATTCATCCACCAAATCAGCTGCTTATGTATACTCGCTGCAGCTTTGATGGAAAAGCTGCCAGAAGCATTTATTTCTCTGCCAGAATACAATGTAGCCGCCCCGCACTCCACCACCGCTCCCCCCACCCCTAGACAGAACAGAATGTATAGATAAACCTTGGAGAAAAATGAAACTCTTCCTTTGGTTCCTCTTCAGCACCTTGTCAAATTCTTTCTGCAAATCCAAATAAACCGCTGTCTTTCTTTGTCTACCAGCTTACTGACTTCCTTAGAGAATTAAACCAAATTCATCAAGCATGAACTGCCCTTTACAAATCCACGCTGACTGTCCTGATTAGCCCGTACCTTTCAAAGTGTTGACTTATCCCCAGCAATACTGCGCTTGACAAGTTGAGACTCGCTGCTCTACAAGTACTCAGCTTATTTTCTCCTCCCATTTCTACAACATTGCAACATCCCACTCCCTCCAGCCTGCGATAGAAGTCACTCTGGAAAAGCCCAGGTAGCTTCATCACCAACCCTATGCCCTTGCCTTCAGGTTTAGGGTCAGGGACAGGGAGGAATGTCATTCTTACCTTGGAACTGGACAGTTCAAGTCTCCATAGTCCAGAGACATGAGCACAGAATCCAGGTTGATACAACCCAGAGCAGTTCTGCAGGAGTGCCACAATGTCAAAGATGCCATCTTTGAGATTACTGGAGGGCCCATTCTGCTCTCCTGAGTGAAGGTGGAAGATCCCTTGGTTACTATTTTGAAGAGGAGGAGGCTGAGGGTGTCACTGGCCAGGCCAGCATTTATTGCCCGTTCCTAATTGCCCAGAGGGCAGTTAAGAGTCAGCCACATTGCTGTGGGTCTGGAGTCACATGTAGGCCAGATCAGGTAAGGATGGCAGTTTCCTTCCCTAAAGGACATCAGTGAACGAGATGAGTTTTTCCGACAATCGGCAATGGATTCATGTTTTTCATTAGACTTCTAGTTCAGTTTTATTTTAACTGATTTCAAATTCTACCAGTTGCCATGGCTGGATTCAGCACAACACTCTTTGAGATTTTCTTGATATGTTAAAAATTGTCTGAAAGTAAAAGCTGCCTTTATTAAAAAGTTCCATTACAATGTAGGGTTTTTATGACAGAACTACATGGTATGAGAGGTAATTTAAATTCACTGCAGGGAATGGGATGAGAGAATATCTGTTTGAGTTGTGTTAAGTTTATGGAATCAAGGCAGCGAAGCAACTGGACAAAGCAAAAGCTCGCTACCTGTGTGAGAATGTAGTTTAGCCAAGATACAGGTGTAATGTCTAAACAGATAATAACGTCTGGGTCTTGCAGAACGACATTAATAAGCTGCTGCATGTGCTCAGCAACATGTTCCTTTACTGAAGAGTTCTAAGAACCCTGATGAATTTAAACTTAAACGCCCTGAAGGTGACAAGTTAAAACGCGATGACTTCAGGAAATTGCAAATGTCACAAATGTGACTGTACGCTGGCAATGACCTGACTATAAAGAGCTCTTGTTAAACATTACTCTGGGAGAACAGGAGACAGCGTTCAAAGTCGGCCCAGTGTACCAAACCTGCAAGTCTGGAGTCAACTATAATTACTGCTCGTATTAGAACAGGTCTGAGAGGCTCTTGTTCACCCTCTGTTAAAGCTTTGTATAACTGAATTCACATGGACTTTGATTAATAAATTAATACATCGCACTGACATCTCAGGAGTACATTAGAATCCAAACCTGATAGTTATAGAGGCAGGGGTGATATTAAGGCATTTTCTTCAATGTAGAGAGAGATGGTAATTCTGCAACATACATGTGGGTTGTGCAGATGCTATCGTGACCGTTGAGAGCTCAGAAATCCTGAGTGTGTGCTGTGATACTTGAAGTAAATCCACTGTCAAAATTGAGTCAAGATCTAGTGCTATTGATTGAGACCTCAGCATTTCTAGCATTCTTCAAAAGATTCAATAGGGTACTAATTCATCACAATGCAGCTGAAATAGTTAGGATTTTGTGACGATTTATTCAATGTTTTTGTAAATGCTGTGCAAGAGAAGTATTTGTATCTCATCTGAATGTTTCATCCTCCGCAGTGTTGCATCAATCAAACCTTTTATCAAAGTACTCTTTCCTCACAACCTCACCCATCCATTCAAGTAAAACTGCAATAAACTGAGGGGACATAATGTTGGTCATAAATCTGCACAGATGGGTCAATGGAGACATTGTGACTTCCTGGTTTAAATAAAAATTGCTGCACTTATAAATATAATTAGCAGATTTTCCCAATTCAACGATCTTAAGCAGAAAGTGCAAATCAATTCCCATTAAAGAAGCTAACGACACAATATTGAGCACATTAGCTGTCACATCAAGAGGAATGCCAATAATCTTTGTAGCCTTCAATGACACCACACTCTTCAAGCTGAACTGCGATAATGGAAATGGCCAGGTAAAGATCAGCAAGTCTTGTTGTCCCATTTTGACCTGTAATAGCCCTGTGTAGCGTGAGTCTCAAATCTTCTTGCACCTAATCCCTTGAGTTTAGAGAGTTGAAGGCTCATCTGTTTGAGGTATTGAAAACATTAAAGTAATTTAGTTGGATTACAGTGGATACACTATGTGATCAGGAATGAGGACCCAGGACACATTAACTTAGAGTAAGTGCTGCACCAATTGGGAGGGATATCAGGAGGCAATTTTCACTCAAAGGACAGGAAGAATCATTCTCCCAGTGGGCTGCAAATGTTGGAAGACAACTGGAGTTTCCAGGACTCGGTTGGATAGATCAGTTCTGAAGAAGAATCACTGGAACTGAATCAAACTCTATTTTCTCTCCACGGATACTGCCAGATCTGCTGAGCAATTTGTGTTTTTGTTTTGATAGATTTTTATAGGGTAAGAGTATTAAACAGCAGCCAGCAAAGTTGGAAAATGGAGTTGGAGTACAAATAGCCACAGTCTGAGGGGCTGAATAGTCTAGTCCCATCCCTAACAGTTCTGTGTAAAATTGAAGTTTCCAAGCCTAAGAAACCAATTCTGACATCTCACCTGGACTCCAAGGATCCCGAAGATTATGAAGAAAGCGCAACAAATGAGGACAATGTTCCCAATGGGCTTGAGTGAGGAAATGAGAGTTTCAACAACCAATTTCAAGCCTGGAGCTCGACTGATGACCCTAGGGGACAAGAGAGTGAGAAAATGCAGCAAGAAAAGTAGATAGCATATAACCACCTGCACATCTCAAAACATTTTTTCAGGATGAAATTGATCCTCTTTAATTGACCCTTGCAGACCTGAATTCTCAGCTGTTTTCTATGACAACAAGGTTTTGTTCATATAAATGAGAGGCGATTGAGTATTCATCTGATGCTGAGCAGCGAGTAATCTCCCTGTGACTTACTGATCTCAAAGAGTGATGTGCAGTTCCTGAATCACAAATAACTAGAGGAGTTGGGATTGTGTGTCTTACAGAGCAGATGAGATTCAATAACAGTGTTGAAAATTAAGAGAGAGTTTGGTAAAGTACATGCCATATACAGTACAGCAGCTGGCAATTTGATGTGGTGGGAGATAGGGAATATCAGCTTCAGGAAGCAATGGTGTGTGTTACATGAGTGTATGACCAGTGGACAAGGATGTGAGGTGACTAGCAAAAGAACCCTGAAATTTTCTTTAAAAATAAAAGGAACAGGAGGAGGCCATTCAGCCCATTGAGCCTGCTCTGCCATTCAATTAAATCATGGCTGATCATCGACCTTAAAGCCAGCTTTCCCACATTGTTTCTGTGAGCCTTGCTGTCTTCAGAAATCTCCAAATTTCTGTCTTAAACCCACTCAATATTTGAGCTTCCACAGCCCCCTGTGGGTCATGAGTTCCAAAGGTTCATCACCTTCTGAGTGAGGAAATTCCTCCTCAGCTCATTCTTAAATGGCTTATCCCTTATTGTAAGACTGTGCCCCTAGTTTTGTACTGAATGTAATGAGCTGGAATGCACTGCCTAAAGGCAGAGGAAGCAGATTCAAGAGGAACTTTCAAAAGGGAGTTGAGTAAATACTTAAAGGGAGCACTATCCCTGCCCAAGCAGTCTCCATCAAAACCAGAAATGGGGAGACTAGGGCGTGTTTGAAGCTTCACCTTCCGTCCTGCTCTCAACCTGCCCATCCTTTGGGTAAACATTTGTGAGTGTGAGTTTGGACTTGGCTGTCATGACCCCTGGTTGATGTCAACACTTTGGGTTTGCACATCTGGACTGGGATCACTAGTCTCGGGGAGTGTCCTCAGTCTGAGCAGGAGGAGGACAGAAAATTGGAAAGGTAGATGCAATGGAAGGGTAAAGAGCCAGGAGGCAGTCTTGATTTTCCAGTAATCTTGCTGATGAATTAAATCAGGTAGTATTGAGGGGAAAACACAGACAACGAAGAAAAACAGTAGCATTAATGTTGCAACATGCTCACACAATTATGACCTTCCCTTTCGGATTACACAGATAATGAGAAGGGCTTCACTCCTACCTGAGGGGCCGTAGTGTCCTGAGGAGCCTGAGCACACGGAGTACGCCCAGTATCGTCGCCCCACCTGCTGACGCCAGTGACACGACTATGTCGATAAGTGATACGAAGACCAGGAACCCATCCAGGATGTTCCAGCTACTTCTCAGGTAGGCTTGGTCACCAATGTAAAACCCCAGAGACACGACCTGGGAGGGGCAAACGGCGAGTGTCACATGGTAACAGAGAACCTCTGGTGGGTGGGATATGTGTGTGGGGAGGTTAAATCATGATCACTTCTGACAGGAAGCAGTTTTGAGACTTTCATTGAAACATCTGCCCTCTCCAGCAGGACATGACAAAGATCTCTTCGGTCCAACCAGTCCATGACGAACACAATCCCAAACTAAACTAGTCCCACCTGCCTGCTCCTGGCCCATGTCCCTCCAAACTTTTCCTATTCATGTACAATCACAATCTCACAGAATACAAAGAATTTTGCCTCCACAAAACAACCGCTGGGGATGATTTTAATATTGTGGAGAGAGCAGAGCTAATGAGTCTAGTTACCCTTCTTCAGAGCTGGTCTCAAAATGTTAACTCTGCTTTCTCTCTTTTCACAGATGCTGCTGGATTTACTGAGTTTCTCCTGAACCCCTGATTTCGCTTGTTTTAGTTATCCCCGGAGTTCCAGGACCAATATTTATTCTTACTGAAGAAAATTCTGTCATTTTCCACTATTTTTGTGGGATCTTGCTGTGTGTAAATAGGTTCCACCCTTTCCTACATTATGACTGTGACGACACTTCAACAACCAGGAAGCCTGGAGGCTATACAAATGTAATTTCTTTCTTTTAGAAATGAGCATTAACATAGGATTGCCTGATAAATTAGCTTCACATTCTCCAAGCCTCACAAAGTTCGGACATGTCAAAGGATGAAGCATTTATACAGAAATGTCACTGGCCAAACTCCAGACTACTGGAAGGACACAGCAGGCTAAGCAGCATCATAGGAGCAGAAAGGCTGACGTTTTGGGCCTAGACCCTTCATCATTTTTCTGATGAAGGGTCTAGGCCCGAA